CCCCACAAAACCGGAGATGCAACAAAAAGGCGTAGGCGGTGCAGCACCTCCCGGCGAGGGCGGTGGGGCAGGCGACGACGGGGCGGCAGAGCTAGAGGCAGGAGTGACAGCCGGGCGGAGGTCAACGCGGGGCTTTGTGGACATCTTGTAGTTACGGAGGGTGATGCCGACATCGTCGAGGGAGGAGAGATCGACAGGACGGCGCTCGTAGCGATCAAGCATGCGAGCGCCCTCGGGAACGGCATCGCCCTTGAGAGGAGTAGAGACCGGGCGAGTCTTGTAGATGCGAGGAGCGAGGTAGGAGGACAAGTTCGAGAGGCCAAGGGTATAGCGAGCGTTGTTCAGCCTCGACATGACGGCGTCAAACTGGAGCTGCATGGTATCGAGCTCATCAAACTGCTTGTTGAGGAAGGAGACCATGTGCGAGCCCACAACATTGACATGAAAGGCAACGTTGCCAAGAGCATTCTTGGTGTAGACCTGCGTCTCTGAAAAGACCTTGTTCTTGTCGGCATCGGCTGCGTACGCTTGCTCAAAGTACTCTGCGATCTCCTTGATTTGGCCCTGTGCTCCAAGAAGCTCACGGAGGGCCGTCGGGAGGACGGCTCCGGCAAGCTGCTGGACTGTGTTGTCAGTAGCCATACTCTACAATCGTTGTACAACTGAGAGAGTGCGGTGTATTTGCAGACGCGAGTCTCTTACCCTTGGCCACACCACCAGCGGTGGGGCGGGGGAGGAACACGCCCTGTCGTCGGTTACTTGCGAACGTCGTCGGCCTGACGAGCCGAAAAGCCATATATTTTTTTTTTGGCGAGTCGGCGACCTTGGCCACTTTGTCGTGGCGGATGCTTGGCGTTGCAACTCTATCGGTTGGCCAAGCAGCGGGATATGTACAAGGCAGCAAGCTGGCAGGCGATGATAAGACTCGGAATGAGTTCATGATCGTGGCTGGCGATCTGCAGCTATCATCGCGCCTCGATCGGGGCTTGATCGAGGGTCTGAGTGGTAGCCTAATTGCTAGCCTGATCGAGGCAGATGGGGCCTGATCGAGGAAGGCAAAGGCGGTGTGTAAGAGAAAGAGAGGGGGCGGGGGGGATGCTACACGCCTATTTGCATTTCATTCGTTTCTGGAACATCGTGCGTCAGAGAATCATTCGAGAAGGGCCTGCACAGCAGAGGGCACACCCTCGTCGTTGAGATGGACCGTGGTGAAGCGCAGGGCGTTGATGAGTGACTCGGTCTCGGTGTGGTCGCCTGGGTTGACCGGCTGGAACTCCTTGAGGGTCTGGATGGCGGCGCGGATGTGGATGGGCGACTTCTTGTGGAAGGCGCCGATGGGGTCCGAGTGGTCATAGATGATGATCGAGGCCGTGAGGGCGCGGAGGCAGAACATGTTGAGCCGGTCCTGGTTGACCGTGTCGGCGGGGTCGTTGAACTTGTCGAGCTGGACCATCGAGTAGCACGCGTTGGCCATGGTGGCAAAGAGCTCGGTGACCGACTCCCGCGGGAGCGAGTTGTTGGACACAAACGAGACCGTCGTCTCCGACAAGCACTTCATCATGGGCGTCGGGTAGGCGTAGAAGAGCGACATCTTGTTGGCGAGGTCGTCCTTGATCGGCACCTCGACATTCGGGTCCGTCATCTTCATCTTGTTCAGCGTCCGCCGGTAGAACGAAAAGTCGTTCTGGATCGCCGGGTTGGTCATCTTCGAGTCGTCGAAGCGGAGCACAAAGTTCATGATGTCCGCCAGCTGGCGAGTCAATGACTGCATCGCCACCAGCGTGTCCTCTGCATTCCCGGGCTCGCACAGCGCTTGCAGCAGGCTCGGAATGACGCCCGTGAGCGTGACCGAGAACTCGTAGAACTGCCGGAGCAGATGCACCTGCGGAATGACAGCCTGCCACGCCGCAGCCGTCGACGCGTCCGACGGGTTCACAATAGCCTCGCGGATCAGCTCGCCACACCCCTCGTACGTAAGCAGCGACTGCAGAATCTGGTCCGCCTCGTCAATGACCGCCTGCACTGGCTCAAACACCGCCCGCTCGGCGTCCGTCTGCGGCGCCGCGTTGGCAAAGTCCACAAACACCTCAGACGGCGGCATAGAGCCCTGGAACTTGGAGAGAAGCTTGCCCATCTCGTTACACTTACACTACACCCCTCCCGCCCACGCTCCGTGAGTCACCCACGCCCTCTGCCGCCTTCTCCATCCGCTGCCTCGCCGCCCCGCTCAGCCGCCGCAAAATTACAGAACGCCCTCCAACCGGCCAGGCACGACATGCCTTGAGCAACGTCTCCAAGCCCGCTACCTCCCGCTCTCCTCCAGCCAACACCTCTACCACATCCACCACAAAACTCTGAGCATAATGGTACCACAATGGTTGCTCTCCTTGCCTTCTCACCCGCTCCACAACCCCCGCCGCGCCCGTTGCAGACCCCCATTCGCAATGAAGCAACAACATTGGGAAAAGGCTCGTCAACCAGACACGCACGACCGACGTCCCGTTCCACAGCCAGCGAGACAGACTCTCTCTCTGACTCGCTCTCGCACCACCCAGACACCACCAACTACACCACCACCATCTCCCAACCCTTCCTGACCATGTCCCTTCTCCCCTCCCCCTTCCCTTTTCCCCTTCCCTCTCTCCTCATACCCCTTCTTCTCCGCCCCCTCCCCGCCGCACTCTCCCCCCCCCCCCCGCCCTCTCTCCCCACCGCCCCCCTCTCCCCCCCCTTCTCCCTTCCCCACTCCACCTCCAACCCTTCAATTAACCACCCATAAAGCAACGTACCCAACAGGTAACGAAGAGCCAGGTGGCTGAACGTCTGTCACTGTTGGCCAGACGCCCTTTTTCGCCACCAATAACCCCCCCCCACCCCCACCACACACACACTAC